CACGAATATGATATATCCAAGAATAAGTTTCAAAAGAAATTACCATCATTGTTTGAAATGTACCATTACCAGTCCCAAATAATATATTCACTGTTCGATCATACTGACAAGGAAAAATTAGATCAACTTGATTATCAGAGTTTACATCAGCAATAACACTTGCACCTGGAGTCTTCAATTGACATGATGTAGTAATTGATAGTTGTTTAAATGCAGGATGACACAATGATGGTTCTAAAGATATAAATTAATTGATACTTTTTAGCTATTATCGAACTCAAACATCAAAATTTAAGCTCAAAGTATATATGAAGATAGTGCGTTTTGAAAATACAAAATGGAAATTTATATTATGGCCATTTAACTATGATGTTCAGAAAAGGTATGACTCCATCATTTTTATGAATTGACCTGATGTGCTCGAAGATGTTGACGTTTTTGTGTTTATTGTCGTATTCAAATCATTAATCATTGTTACACTCGTCGTTGAATCTATCAAACAAACATATAACAGTTATTTCATGAACAATCTCTATCTATTTTTTAATCAAGACAGGTATATACATGGGGCATTACGAAAGTTTTCCACTAGCCCTTACAGAAGATACTTAGATACCAGTGTCAATTAATTTTTTTAAAGTACGCTCCGCTAGCATCAATACACTTTTGCATGCGAGAAAACCAATAAGCGAAACAGTTCTGGAAGTCCTCTTTAGTCAGACACTGAATGACATGGTCCAAGGCTTTCAACATTTCCTCGTCGTTGTTAAATTGAATTCCTCACAGTTGATTTTTCAGTCTCGGGAATAGAAAGAAGTCGTAGGGACTCAGATCTGGTGAATATGGGGGGTTTGGATACGATTCGACACCATTTTCAGCCAAATATTCGGTTGTCATCAAAGTCCGATGGGGTTGTGTATTCTCATCATGGAACATCAGCATACGGAGTCTTGTCTTCTCTCGTCTTTGTGCAATAGCATCGAAAGCCCTAGAGAGGCAGTTCCTGACATATGATCGTGCACTGATTGAGGCACCACATTCCAATACCATTGATTTGAGCAAGCCGGACTTCATGAAACAAAATTGCAACCATTCGTTTCCGAGAACTCCTGTTTCTTCAAATTTTTGTCGGACGAGGATCATCTTTTGACACCTACGTTTTTGATTGCTCTTTGGTTTCTGGATCATAATGATGAAATCATGATTCATCACCAGTAACGATGTCGAATACATGCCGAGATTGTCCTTGTTCGAACCATCTCAGTGATTCACGTCAGAATTGCATTCGAAGTCGTTTTTGATCATTGGTGAGCGAATGTAGTACCCATCTTGCGCAAACCTTCCGTAACTTTAAATAATCGTGGAGGAATGATTAAATTGCTGGCGAATTGATGTCCAAGGAACACGCGATCTGCTGATACGTCACATGCGGATCATCATCAATCATTACTCGAACGACATCGATCACTTCATCGGTTACTGTAGTTCGAGGTCGTCCTGAACGAGGTAAATCAGAAACGTCCGATTTTCCACGTTCGTATTCATGAAACCAGTTAAGAACTGTTCGATCGGAAGGTGCTTGGTTCCCTCAAGCTGCTACCAAACGGGCATGGCTTTCTCGGTAATTCAAGCCAATTTTCCAATCATAAAGAATCATGGTACGAAATTGCTCTCTAGACAGTTCGATTACCATTGTGCAAATGATTGATAGTGGTCGGAAAAAACCGAAGATCTCGTGATGCACAACACATGGAGCTCTGAATGTTTCTACATAATCATGAAGATGTCCCCACCCTACGATAGTAATCTTAGAAGGAAATTCGCACGTTTCCTTATGGTGGGCGAAAAAACTTTTAGTCCTCTATGTACTATGAATTTACGAAAACGAAAGCAAATGTACGATAGTATTAATATAAGATAATTGTTTTCGATGATGATATGCTCTCTCTAAATCTTATTCATCATGATGTCAATAAAACTTTTGCTTAACATTTTACAATGAATATCAAGTGTAGGAAATTTTCTTCTTACTTTGTCGAGCATAATATACTGATAAAACAGTGGCACCTACTAATATGCATATTAGTAGTATAATAACAAATATCATCTTAAAAATCGATTGACCACGTGGTATAACATTATTTCTATAAATAAAAGAAATTTGTAATTAAGAAGAAAAGCAAGATGATTTACTGTAATCTTATATTCATTGATGTAATCTTATTATTCCAAGTAGTATTTTGAATAGTTGTATTATACGTTGCATTAGATGAAACTTGATTTGTATTAATAGGATGAACAGTATTTGATTGATTTTTTCGATGATTGTATATTTTTGATCCAATGCGAACAAGTTTTGGACAAATCCATTTCAGGACAATGGTTAAACCACCTTGAATACCAAGTATCACGGTGATTGTATGAAATATATTAAACTTTTCAATAGTTGTATAAGAACAAATTGAAGGCAAACACTGTTGATAATATGATGAATAATTTATTTGTGTTGACCATTGTTCAATGAATAAATTATTTATAAGTTCACCTATTGTTGTATTCTGTGAAAAATGGCTAAGATTTGTTGTTGAAAGAGGAGTTAAAGAATTTTCATAGTTTGTATAATGCTGAATAAGATCAAGACATGATTGATCATAGAAACATTCAAGAGTCGAAACAAGAAATGATTGACTTGGTGTACATCCCATTCGCACACCTTTGAGAGGAATCTTTCTTGAAGAATTTCTTTCAATCAAAGTTCCTTGCATTGTACAATTTGGAGACAATCCACATGAACATTCATCGTCATAGATGGTAGCTTCTGTATATGCATAAACATCCCTAGACCCATACGCTAAAATCCTATAGTTGAAATTTGTTCCATAAGTTGATATAATAGCATTTCCATGCAAAATACTTTGAGTTGAAGAAAGAAGACGAGAAAATAGAATAGGAGCATTGATTTTAATCTGTTCCGTTAAGATATTCAGACGATTCTCAAAGTTGAGTACGGAGAGAAGTTCGACAGTAACTAATAATGATGTCAAAAATTCATCGATAGAATTATTTACTGATTGTATCGAAAGTTGACATAATCCTTGAAGATATTGTAAATGAGCCGACAGAAATTGACGATAATCTTTTTGTTCATATACAGTTAAATTAGGATCAAGACCCTTTACCAAAGCGAGTCGCCATCCTTCCAAAACAAATTCACTTGTACATACCTAGAAATAATAATCAACGCCATAGCATAATACTGATTAAAACTTTCGTACAATAACGATGCGATTCTCCTGAATACTCGAAAGCATCGAAATCTTTACTTTGCCAAAATTCTACCTTACCGAATGAAAGATTGGTTCGATTTCGACGAAGTGATTGTATGTAAATGCTATTTTTGAGCATCTGCATTTTAATTCATCACCATAGGTTTTTCTCAAATGATTGTAGAAAATAAAAGATGGTTCATCAAAATTTTTTGTCAGTATATGCGGTCGAATAATTGTATAAAATATAAGAATAGTGAGAGCACTGATAAATAAGATAACGTAAAGACGAGTCGCCCATTGACCAAAACGTTTTGCTGTTATTCGATCAACATCACTTCCAATATCACGTAATGTAAATATATTTAACTCAATCAATTTAGTACGTAAACATTTTTTTAAATCCTGCATCATGATCTTCAATCGATTGGTACGAGCAAGGTGAACTAGAACAGAAATATACAGGCACTATGAAAAAGGTCTGTTTTTCATTAATAACAATTCAAAATATTAAGCAGTTAAGTTGTAGATGGCACCTAGGACTATCATTACTTATGGTTCACTGAAAATCTATTTTTTTGATCAAAAAAGATGGGATGAGTACCCTTAAATCGCAGTCGATAGATATTCTCATACATTGCATGTTGCATATAAAGCATTTAGAATGATATTTTTTTCGATCGATGAGATATATTTGTGAAAATTTTCCTTCAAATTCTATCAAATAAGATTCGTAATCTATCGACAAAGTATGAATATAGGTAAATGATCTTCAGTTAGTTACCTTGTTCTGGTGTTTTCTTGAACATTGTGGAAAGTTGCAAAATAAATTTCACAAAATGAGGTGTCAAAATACGTAAAGAGACTACAATACCACCAATCATCGACACTAGCATTATAACTACTCGAATAAAATTTTCCTTGCGAATTCTTTGAGAATAAGAACAATATATTGGTGCACAAGCTTCATAGAAATATTCATGTGATGAAGAAGGATTCCATTGGTCAACCATCAGTTCTTTGATAATCATTGAAATTGATGTTTTAGGAGGAAAATGACTCAATGCTGGATCATAAACGAGAGGTTGTATACGAAGTGAAGATGACTGTAGATACGTCGGAAGAAAATTCATTTTTGGTAAATAACTTAATAAAAGTGGAAAACAATTTGAATCGACATATAAGCACTCAAGTGTCGAGAATTGAAGAGAATCAATAGCAAGACACCCTTGAATCCATCCGGACACATTATAAATGAGATTAATATCGTTTTCCCACACATAGTTGAAAGTGGAATCATAGATAACAGCTTGATTTTGACAATATGGATTTATAACACAATTACATTTGATCGATGTTGAATTAATCTCTAGAATTCCATTTGGAATAAATTGGACCTACAAATAAATTTAATTAAGTTAATATTTCAGTAATAATCAATTGAGATAAATTATACTCATCGAGAGTCATTAATCAATCAATTTTGATAAAATCTAACCCTTCGTTTTCTCATACTATTGCATGGAAATACTGCTTAGCAATTAGTCAAATGATCTTGAATTCAATTTAAAACTGTGGAAAAACATAATTTGTACGAAACATCTTGATTTATTATCAATTTATTTTGTTTGAAACATGATCTTAAGGGTATCTCCTCTTTTTAGGTGGAAATTCTTTTGAAAAGCGATTTTTTGAGTTTGTGCTCGAGAGGTAGCCCATACTAAGATCTTTCCATCGACATTTGAACGAGCTCAATCGGACTCACTGTTATCTCAAAATTTCATTTTTACGAAACATTTCTTATGTAAAAAATTTCCAAAAGCTACGAATACGGTTGATGCTTTAGAAAAACTCTTTCTTTCCAGTAAAAATATGGTCAAACAGTTAAGTGTAGACATGTAGATACTCATGGGATATGGAAACGAACACCATCAATGAGTGAGAAGATATTTCGTGGCGAAAAGGCAGACTTCCTCGTTGATACTTCTCTTTATCATTCGATTAATGCTCTGATGGTGGACATTTTGATTTATTTTTTCCACTTGATCATGTTTTCACTTCTACTCGAAGAGGCAGCTAGAGTAGAGCACAATAGAATGCGAAAGAAATCTACTCAAGCAGTTCCTAGACCAATTATAATGACGGCAGAGTGAATTGCTAAGCGAGTTTTCCATTATTTCCTGTGAAATGTCATGATGAATGCATTTAGGATGCGTCCCATTTCATCGCCTACATAACCATCGGATTCTGCATGAAAAATTACCCGGAACAGCAATAAAAAATCAACTTTCAACTTTCGCCAGTGAGAAACGATATAGCGAAAACTTATTTTGCGTTTTTCTCGAAATCGGTTTTTTTCGACGAAGTGTTGAATTGTGCCACGGACAACCTTCCTTTCTTTTCATCCGATCGGATTGAAATTTTTACCACATGTACCTTAGACTATTCTCTAGAAGCAGTTTTGGCCGTTTTCGATTCTCATATCTCCTTGCGGATTTATACGGTTTTTCGTGTCAAAAACCAGGATCTCTGGAAAACCTTTTCGTATTTCTTTTCTAGGAAAAAAATACGAAACAAGATTTTTCAAAATGGTGAAAACTGTCTCTGAGATGTAGTGATAGGTACCTCCAGTCAAAATTTCAGGTTGATCGGACGACTTTACCTACCCTCGTCCAATGGCAAGGTGAGGACCTACGAAAAACTACAGTTTTTGATTAAAAACCGTGAGGACTGACGCTGGGAAATTTTGTCAAAAATACGTATCTGGTTATCGTAGGTCCTCTATCTCTGATAAAAATTTAAAGCGAATTGGACTTGCCATCTTGGAGATTTGAGAAACATGAAAAAAGAGGGGGCACCCTTAAGCCTCCGACGATTTTGTAGGTCGATTCGGATCTCCAATGCAACTCCATTTTCTGCTGCCATAATAGCTATTGTTTCTTGTAACAGTTTTTTCTTTGATCATAGCCTTCTAGTAACGTATAGAAGCAACAGGGAGGACTTTGGACATATACTTATATCTATTCCACTGAATCAACGAAATGTATTTGAATGCTAAAAAGTAAAAGCTTTCAGAGGGTTAATCATATTTACTCTCTAACTTATACTCATTATATTCAGTATACCTTGATACTTTTTGCTCAAGTCTCACTTAACAAACAAAAAAAGACAGAATATACTCATGTATCGATCATTTCTAACAATATTCCTATAAACTGATGAATTATGTTATCGTTCAAAAAAGTAACATACCTGTCGTGTTGTAACATTGTTCGTCTCATTTATTATTATGTTTACGATCTGTTTAGTGTCGTAATTATGTAACATAGATCTGAGTGATCCCGAATAAAATTGATCAACTTGCATAACGAGATGTATGACATCTTTCAAGAGATCAAAGTTGTAAATTGTTGATCGGTAAAATTGATTGACATTTGCATTGAGTTGTTTATTAAAATCCAATTCATTCATTACAGACGAAGCGATAAATATCTGTGAAAGAAATCTATTAATAGCTGTATTAATCGTTTTATTGGCCAGTTGACAAAAATCAGATAATATCTGAAAATATTGATGTGCTCGATTCCGCCAGTCGTTCATATTTATGTCGCTTGCACTGCCTTTTAAGATTGTTATCCAATCTTCATCAACAAAACCACTCGAACATATCTGGTGTAGAATTGGAGAAAATGACACAAATATTTTATGAGATATTGTTTTATTTGAACATGGACATTGAAGTGTTGTTGAATATATACTTTCTAATGATTTGTAAGTCGTTATCGAAGGATTTGGTACTGTTATTACCACTATTTCGTTGCTTAAAGTTGTGTATAGACAAAGAAAACATATCGATCCTAATTGAAAAGAAAAAAGTATCGAAGAAAATAAGATACGTAAAGTGAAAATAATTTTACCGAATAATAAGATTAAATAAATACGAGTAATAATTCTCTGTTGTTTGATACTGTTTTCTGTTCGATAATGAATATTTTTGAATAAATTCAACTGTTTTAATGATTGAATTGGTTTAAACCTATTCGTATCTTGCTGATCTATATAATGAAAAAATAAACTTGATCAATAATGAGAATTGTCTTTGATTAAGAATTTACTCAAATTTTCACTTGAATAAGATTTAAATTTTAGCCAAGTATCAATGAAATACGATGCAAGTAAGCGAAGTATAATAGTAAGACCACCATAAAGGCTAATGAAAAGAGTGATTGCATATGATAAGGCTACTCGATCTTTTGTTGTATAAGTACACATTGATGAAAAACATTGATCGAAGTATGTTGAATAATTGATTTTTATTGACCACTTGTCAATAAAAAGTGCGTTTAAATAGTCAAGTACAGAAGTATTTTCATGTTTTGACGATAAAATCAAATTATTCCAATTAAAGTTTGTCTAAAGAAAAAGAATATGTAACAATTATTGAATTATACCTTACAAACTTGGTTCAGATTTGGGAAATAATTCAACAATAATTGAAGACATTCCGTTTCGTATAAGCAATCTAGTGTACTTTGAAGGAGTGCTTCAATAGGCGTACATCCTGTAAAAAAGCCTTTGACGATGGTAGAATTGGGCAATGCTTGCATGTTGGATCTTCGCGGATACTGTATTAAAGTGTTTGATAATGGAGGAAGAGTAGCTGCAATTACCAAATTATTTGAGCTGCATGATAAATAGCTAATCGGCGTAGGAAAATATTTCACTGAGGTTCCAATGGTAGCATCAGCCCTCTCGTTGAAGTAAACTATCTCAATTAGCCAATTAGTACCAAGGCCTGTAACCAAATAGTTTCCTGGGATTGTTGTTCTCAAATAATTCAAGAATGACACTATTCCACTTAATGCATTGTTCTTCTGAATTTCAATGATACCACTCAATTCTAGTTGAACTTGCATTTCGGAAAGAAGCCCAATCGTAACTAGATCAGTATTATTAAGATTTAGTTGAATTTCAGCAATTATTTCCTTCGAAGTTGAACAAAACTTTGAGAGGAGTTTAAACTAAATAAAAAAGATGAACTTTTAAAACATCAATTG